TGACCTAGAGGCCCAATACCCAGATCGGGAAGGCCCAAGATATCCGGCCCAAGTAACAGGCCCATCACTCCATGATGAAAAGATCCAGTAAGGAGGCATGCCGAACGAGGTTCGGCCCAAATAAAGGTTGGCCCAGTAACAAGACATACCGAACGAGGTTCGGGCTATATATCATACTTGGGCCAATTTGACAGCATCTTCAATACAACTCAACATCCCGTTCGAGCAACGGCCAACCAGCAAGTGGCCAGGTGCAGTTAATGCCAGACTATGACATCAGCAAGTGGAAGCATGGATGACCAAGGCGGTGGAACAACGGCCAATCAACAAGAGGTAGCCCATGCTCTCCATTAGTATAAATAGAAGGTTTCAAGTCATTTGTAAGGGTTAACATTTCAATACTCAAGCTCTAGAATAACATCATTTGCTCTTATTTCTTGTATTAATTAATACAAGTGGGCTTTCGAGTTTTAGTTAGTTCAGATCTTATATTTTCTTATACACTTTGATTCTGGGCCATTCCTGATATATTCAAAGTTCGTGTTGGGCTTTCGGATCTGCGGGACTTACCCTCAACAATAATCTAGTGAAATAATAACTAATTTACTCAACTCACTCAATTACAAGTTCATACTAAAATAAGTAATGTGTATAATATTATATTTCGATCCAAATAGCTAAATTTAACAAAAAAAAATCTAAATTCACAATCATAAATAACAATCTGATCTAAAATTCTCAAGTCACCTAAATTTTAATTCAATTACAAGTATTTGAATGTACTCTTAATATGTTATGAAATGCGTTTATTTTTGAGTTCATATGAACTAATGGGCCAAATTTTGTTTAAACACGTCATATTATTGGATCTGTGCTTTTTAAATTGAATGGGTCAATATTTTTTAACGAAATTCAAGTGTTAAACACCCACACAAATGTTGAATGGGTCAATATTACACTGCTTTTTTGTTAAACTTTTATACAAGTAGTACTTCAAACACAATAATATTAAATTGAAATATAAGTTAATTTGTCTTCATAATAATGAAATAATGTTAGTACTTAGTAAACAATGATAACAAACACATATACTACGTACAATATTTTAAAATAAGTTATAGTCCTCTTGAATTTGATAGTGTTATTTAATACTCCCTCCGTTTCTGAAACAAGTTTCACCTTTCCTTTTCGGGCAGATTAAAAATTAAGTTCCACTTTCAAACATTTCCTTATTATCTACATCAAAACAGTGTCAAACAGTGTCAAACAGTGCCAAACAGTGTTCAAACAGTGCCAAACAGTGCACTCCACAGTAAAGTCAAATTTATTTTCTTAATATGTGTGAAGTCAAATGTGGAACTTGTTTAGGAATCGGAGGGAGTAATACATACGGAGTATTTATTCTAATACATACAGAGTATTTATTCTGTAACTTTCTAAAATACATATGAAAAATTATTCGGGTTTTTCCGGTTTCTATGTCTTGAAATTTGTCCGATACATTAATAGTGTAATGTACTATTATTAAAACATCTAAAAATAAATTACATGATTAATAAAGTGAACTACTCTTATGTGATGAATTTTTATCTGATTAAATTTTATGTGATTTATCTATTTTATATTTATTTAAGATGGGTCTGCACTGAAATTTTTAGAAATTTTATACAATTCATAAATTTTTTATGAATGTTCTGATTTTTCTGATTTTATCTAATTATAAATTTATAATTATCATAGTCTATAATGACATTTAAGTATTTATTAGACTATTAACAATAAATGACAACACATAAAATCAAATCATTGTAAATTCTATTTAATTTGAATAATACATACCTGGAGATTCGCAGTTCTCAAACGTTTGGGGGTTGTTTCTCCGGCCATATACTGATGATGTGCCCTCCTCTCCGGGAGCTTCGTGGAACGTCAAATTTTGTGGCGGGGTCGCTGAAGCTTCCACGTAAATGTGCAACTGTTCATACTCATTTTTAGCAACCCGGAAAAAATGATGCCATGTCTGCTCATTGTGAATGTGCCATAGTCTAGAAGCAACATATACCAAATTCTTATATTTTGGCAATTTTCCGTAAATTAATTTAATTTCGGAAAATCACTCGCCTCTAGCATGATTTAGAACATTCTCATGTATAGTAGTAGAATCATCTCCTTCACTAATGAATAATATCGCCCTATGAGGTATGGAGTACTCTATTTCATCATCTTTTTGAGACGTAGAGCCATTCCAATGAACCATAACAACAGTGTTACTCTCACTAGACATTTGTATATACAGAGTGGTATATATAAAATATATTAAGAGAGGAAGAAGATTTTTTTTGTATTCAAAATTTGAGGATGGGGAATGGGTTTTATAGGATAAATGAGCTCCAATGTAAGGTAAAATTTTTGGTTTAAAATTGAACACGTATGTAATGGACCTAATTTTTTGGCTTTTGCTCTATTCGGAAGTACCAATTCCGAAAAGAGTAAATGGAATCTATGTGTTTTGGATTTTAATGGATTGTCTCGAATATAAAATTTCTTAAAATAAAATAAAACATATGTTAGGTAAAAGTTATGGTTTAAAATTGAACACGTATGTATCTTGGAATATAAAATTTCTAAAAAAAATCCCCTAGTCGGATTTACTTTTTCCGACAGGAATAAAATAGGTTCTCCGATGGTCAGATTTGCCAATTCCGACCGGAGGAGTAGTTTAGAAAATAATCCCTACCCTGTAGTCGGAACACCCCATTTCGACTCCAGTATTTTGGCGTGTCATACATAAATTTTCCGCTTTTTGGAAATTTCCTCGAGTTCAGGGGCCTATTTGACCTAATTGCAACGTGGGATGCACAGTTGGCCTATGACCGGATATTAATTACCATCAAAAAGTAAAATTTGAACATTTTCGTCCAGTTCAAGGCAAATTGAGCATTCCGAACGGGTACATGAGCCTATTTTACCCTTTAACCATGATTATATTAGCACATTCCAAGTTTTTGGTGATTATGTGGTTATGCTTAAAATCAAAACATTGCTGAGTTCACTGAATAGGCTAAGTTTTTGTGTTATAACTCACATGACACTATGTCCATTGCCACATGATAATCCACCTCAGATTATTAATTTTTATAGTTTGCGGCAGTGGGAGGGTATAGGTTTTGAGTGTTTAAAGAAATGAAAAAGAATGAGTCAAGGGGAAACTCCGCTTGAAGTTGCGGAGTTGAGTTTTTAGATACTTTGTTGGGCTTTGATACCCATTATATTTACTTATGTTTAACATAAGTATTTATAAGTATTTGTTGAAGAAAAGAAGAGAAATTGGGAAAATATCTTGAGAATGAGAGTTAGAGCATTAAACATTGTGATGAACGGCTTTTGGGACCAAAAGGATGACGTTTTGCCCATCATTTGAGTATAACGTATTGTAGAGAACTCGAAATCACTCCATTCGAATTTCATGTGAATGGTAACTCAATAAGGTACAAATGTTATGAAGACATCATGTCCAGAATAGGAAAGGAACAATACTCAATCAACCGATAAAGTCAGATGTTGCTGGTGGGATTTAAGGATGCATACCTCTCAGTGTTTTATCCATATCTGTTGATTGGATGAATAAAATCACGTCATTCAAGTTTTATTGGATAGAAGACTTCATTATCTACAACTTTGATGAAGGAATCATGTCCAAATTCGTAGCGGAACATCTCCAAAATCCCGATACAAAAACCGACACTTTTTGATCCATTTCAGAGGAAGAGAAATGGAGTATATTTTTGGGCGCAGCAACCGGCGCCGGTCGGAACGTTTTTTCTCGCACAAATGAGCCTGTTTTCAACCGGGGCCGGTCATCTGACCAACCGGCGCCGGTTGGGTCGATTTTCAGCTAAAAAACAGCATCGTGCAAGCTGATTCTTGATGGGAAAACCCCATCTTCCTCAATGCTAATCAAATATTGCTTCCATACCTCATTGTTGGGTTCGAATAGACTAAAAGATGTCATTCTTTAGCCTATATAAAGCCCTCAATTCATCATACAAACACATTCCATTCCATAGATTAATTCTTAGCTTTTATATTTTTGTTCTTGATATTCTCTTCAAGTTCTTGAGGAGGGAAATTCATCCTCCGAAATCATTGGTGTTTAGGTATTATTTCCTTTGTAATTTCATGTTCCATTACATTTATTGTTGTATTGTGATTAATATGAGCATTAGAGGCTAATTTCTTAGCTAAGGCTAGGGATGAACTTTTATGCCCACTAGGTGTTTGATAAAAGTTCTAAACCAATAAATTGTGATTTATCCTTTATATATTGATTGTTTATGACTATGGTGTACAACATAGAAGTATGTTAAATTTAGTTTATACTTGCAATTAACGTTGAAGTCTAAACTATGAACACTAAAGGATAAACATATATAGTACCGAGAATAGAAATATATCCGGTCTTATATGATACGGGTGTGATGTCTTGATATTCAACGGGGTTTTCGGTAGATGAATGTAAGCCGTAACGGGACTTACACATAACGAAAACCACGCTCTCGCTGCCTTAACCGGAGTTGAGAATATATTAGCGACATCGTATTCATAATTATTGGCAAAGAACTAATATTCAACCCTATTTAAGCATTTAAGTGATTCCCGAAGCCTTAGTTGTTGTTATCATTTATCTTGAACTCAAAGTTAGTTAACAATTATCTTGTTGAACAAAAAGTGAAAAAACCAAAAATATAAAACACAAATCAAAATCCCTGCACTTTATTCAATTCTTCATTTAAAGTTATCTACTCTCGGACTTGAATTAAACAACGTTTCCTTGTCGATTCGACCCGGTATTTTACCGGAATTTATTACTATATCAGCACTTGTACACTTGCAAGTTTAGCCCGATCAGGCTTTCAGAAATCAGATATAGTGCATGGCAGGGCAATGCGAGTTTTAATTGTGTAGTTACGGGAAATGTATAATAGGTAGGCCTGAATTAAAATCTTATACAAACATTACAATTAATTTAAAGCTTTCTTAATATCTAAAGTCACGTAATAATGTGCTTTTACAACTTACTTCCTTGACAAGTGATATTTACAGACACATAAATCTTTATATACTAATTTCAATTTAATGGGTAGAATAGCACAAATCTACCAGAACTTTTATACAACAATGAACATATGAAGCCATAAGTGTTTTTCCGTACAACAAGACTTTAATATATACCCTTGATGTGAGCATCTTTGTTTCTCTAATACTCATATGTTGGGGTTTTTGCCCTCTTTTGTTTTGCAATAAGCTGCTTGTACCAATTTGCTGATAATCTTGGCACTCTCTCTAATGTCATGCGATCCACATAATAAAGCCCAAACTTTAGGGTGTAACCATACAACCACTCAAAGTTGTCAAGCAAGGACCAAACAAAATACCCTCTCACATCTGCTCCTTTCCTAATAGAAATACACAAAATATCAGTTAAATGAGCAGTTCTTGAAGCATGACTGTTAATCTATGGGAATTTTCCTGAAATATGACTAAAAACGTTTGAGAATTCCAACATAGGAGTAATTATTTCCGAGATTGGAAAATACTGCAATGTGTAAAGTCTGGTACTGACAAACATGGTAGTAATTAGTCCTATTTAGGGAATAAAAACATGATAATCGTCTTCACCCGTACCTCATAGCAGTTGAAAGGGCATCTATATAGTCGGCCATGAACTCCACACGCTTAATATCATGTAATGATTCTTTAATGTTTGTTTGTGAGTCGAATCTCTCACTATAACCTGAGGATTTGTACATCATCAATCATGTGAAATAAAACTTACTTAAGATATCATATTTTTCTGCTTTCACTCACCATTTTCTGCTACATAAAGCGGTGTATTATTGTATCGGTCTTTCAAGTATGTTACCGTTTTCTCCATTCCCGACGGATAAACATAGAGGATGTCCATCCCTGACTGCAGAATGTGAATATGTTATTAAGGTCAGTAAAAGTAAATTACCAAAAGTAATGAAGATAGTGAGTTAATTAGCTAGGATAATAAAACTACTTACTGCTTCTCCAATTGGGACACCATCCTTGAATGAACTTTTCACAAGGAAACCGTCTACTCTACTATTACCCTCTACAGGCCCACAATTAGAATGGATGCAGTCTTTCACATAGAAACTAGTGTAATGGTTGATCGCAATGAAATCTAGTCCTGTTTTCAGTAGTTCCAACTCTTGTGTTGAGAATTCTGGTAAAAGTGATCCCAAGATGTCTTTCATCTCCTTGGGATATCTACCATTTATGATTGGATCAAGGAACCTGTGTTGTGTATGAAACAATTACTGAACTATTTCTTGAGAATAGTTTCATAGCATAAAATGATTGTATCTTTCTCACTACACTATTGCTTTATTCATCCGTCCACGTACTTGGCCTTTCCTGTCTCGATGTACGCCTTATTTTTTTAAAATGGCCTAGGGAATATGTGCAATTTTTTTTTTGAAGCCCAATGCTGGGAACTCAATATCCCACATCCCGGACTAAATAAATAGTAGATGCTTTAACGTGATGCTATGTCATTTATTCACTTCACAGAATGCAATTGCATGCTCTTTCTTTTAGTTTATTTGGGATTACATCAAAGACAAAACAATGCCTGGGATGTGCAGTCTTACCGAAGAGATTTTTGCTTGAATGTTAAAATTTTATTCAAAAAAGTAGCTCTAAAGTCTACAAACACATTTTCATTGGTTTCTCAGTATATATCATCCACAATTTCACATAGCAGATGGCATAATATATGTTAAAGTTTTGAAATCGGAAGCAACAAAAAAGATCACACACTTTTAACCCATGTAAAGCAGGCTAAGAATATAAGCTATATATGACACACATACTTTTGCAACCAATATTTTTCCATCAGATTCTGCATCATGAAAAGGCTAACAAAATTCGGTGTTTGATTAGCAAAAGAGGATGAGATGAAAATTTCAAATGAAGTACGGAGTATATTGCAATAAATAATTACTGAACATTTAGAATCTTTAACTTTATATTCATGTAATAATTTGTAACCCTTTTACTGAACATGGAAGCGACAAAGCACCTATTATAGATTTCATAGGTACATATAAAGAGTACTTACTTTTTCCCCGAATAAACAATTGTGTTTTTTTACTGATGATGATGATGATAATAATTATGAGGAGAGGCCGAATATGAAAAGGTGGAATTTTAGAAATTCTAAGAATGCCACATAGTATATCAATTTTCGAATGGGTTATAATTGAGTGGATTAAATAGTTGGGTTAGGTTGGGTGGGTGTTTAGATAGTTGGGAAAATAGTAATTGGGCTCGGTTGGTTTAGTGTGACAATATTTTTGAGTATCAAAGTGAACTATTATATGTTTAAATTGTTGGTATTAACAATAGTCTCTGTCCCTCAAAATTTTGACAAGTTTGATAGACTCGAGAATAATAAAGTAAAAATTGTGTGATTTAATGTAGATGAGGGAGAAATGATAAAAATCACATATTAATTGATTAAAAGGGGAAGTCATCAAGTTGTTACGACAACAACATAATAGATGAAAAAGTTATAAGGGAAAAAGTGATACTTTGAATTAGTTCTTTGCTGGTTTTACTCTCTATAGAGGGTATAAATTGTGATACTTCTTACGTATTTTAAAGTTTGGCACACTTTTCTTTTTTGGATGTATTTAAAAGTTTACTTTTTGAGAAGGTTGATCAGATTAGGTGTTCCACCGAAGCATGTGACGTTTCAGTTGTAGATTTAATCGATCATGTATGTCAAGAAAAAATGAGCCGATGACGAGTATAAAAAATTGGCCTGGTTTGGGTTCTATGAGCCGACGGTGACAGATGACGTAGAGATAGAAAGAAAAACTAATGGCAGATCAACCATCGAGAATGCATGTTCAAACCCTAAGAGGCATCGGATGCATAGGGTCTGTTTAGCTTTGAGCCAGTGCATCGCATATATAGGGCCATGTTTGGCCTTGGGCAGATTGGGAGTGTTTAGCCTTGGCCCGTTAGTTATACATTTTTTGTAGTATTTTAGTATATGCCTTATACTCCCACTATCTCATAGAATTCTTTCAAATTTTACTTGGATCAGCATTTAAGTAAGTGAAAATATGATGGAAATGTATTGTTAAGATTCAATAAGAAGAAGATAAATGAATGTTAGTCATACAAAACTTTCCAAAAATGGAAATGAAAACAATTTTTTGGAACATCCTAAAATAATGATAAGTGAAAAGAATTTTATGGGATGAAGTGTTTGCTTTTTTAACGGAGTGCTATCGCATACATTGATTTGTTTTAGTGTGCATACATTGAGAACACTCTCACCGGGTGGTTAGGCAGGCAGACTTTGAAATTATGACTTTGTGGGTATTTTTAGACATTTTATTCTAGAAATGAGAAGATGCAAACTACTCAGTACTCATAAATTTTATATGTACCTAAAGATTATTTTAAAAATTGGTCAAGTAGTTGAATGGAATGATCACTTAATAGTTTTTTCGGGTATATAGTTTTCTTAAATGGGGTAACTCATATTTTGAATTTTCAGGTTTATTTCAAATCAGCAAGACTAAAAATATAGTTTGATTGAAATAATTGAAATTACTATATAATATAAATTTATCTTTTTATTTTATACTATGTATAACTTTTTATATGTTCAAATGAAGATTGAAAACATTTTTAATTGTGATTATATTACAATTCCAAATTACTAAAAAAACTCAGAGTCAGTCTCACTAGCGCCTTCAGATGTTAGACTTCCTTTCAGATTTTACAGAAGATAATTTTCTGTAATGATCGTTTATGCAATGAAAATTAATAAAAGTCAAGATCAATCTCTCTCTCATATATAATTATTACGGAGTATTAAAGAAGCAAGTTTTCGAGAGTTATCAATTGAAAATGGCTAAAATTTTGTTAGTGGATGGCGACGATTAAAGTACAATGAAGATAACCAATATTATCTCTAAGGAAGTAGTTTATATGCAGTTTTTCTGCCCGTGCATCGCACGGGTAAGCTGCACGGCCAAAAGCTTTTAGAAAGTCTGTTTAGAAATCTCTCATGGTCAACTTTATGTTGCGGTTAATACGGGTAATTTGTTGTTGAATAAACCTCTCATGGTAAGTTTTATGTTCCAGTTTCCAGAGTCACCCAATAGAAAAGGGTTGGAAATTTTTTTAGTGGATGGTGACGGAAAAGCACAACATTGAATACTGTCTACAAATGAGTTTTTCAAAATTTGTAGATCTAATGTTTGTTATTCAACTTTAGTTCTTTTAATTGATACAACAATGTGTTTTTTGAGTACAAAATTTTTTAATTATATGTATTTAATTAAGCTTTTTGTCGTGCATCGCACGGGTGAGCTACTAGTTTTCTGAATAGTATTTCATTAAACGTTACTACCTACACCCAAACTGGTTCGTGAATTCAACTTTTTTAAGTCAAACAGTTTCGTTTATTCATTTAATTAAATATTAATTTTTAATTATATTCTAATTTGGATTTTGCAACTTTAATTTGTAGAGATTTTAATTTAGTGTCTGATATGTTAATTTTAGTTATTAAAAATTGAATGAATTATTAATAGGAAGGATTTAACTTTAACATTGATTGACCAAAAAATAACTCCGCCTATTCCATTGTTTGGTATCATGCATGTACCAAGTCTGGATAAAGGAGGAGAATGTTGTGGTAGGCGTGTGACGACCAACAGTACCCAGACACATCACATGACATGAATCGAAGTATGAATATTCTGATATCATGGATCGATTCATGTTAACCGATCCTAAATTCTTTTGAGGTTAAGGTTTAGATTGATGTTGTTATTGATTGACCAAAAAAGTTAACCCTACATCAATTTGGGACACATGGACCACATTTTTTAGGTAAAACACTAGAACAAAAGTAGTTTTACTGTATAGGGATGTTATTGGCAAATCATATACCAGTTTGAAAAGAAGGATTGGCCTCTTTCTGCGGCTAACTTGTCTTCTGTGGAATTGCTCATTGGTTCATACCAGAACGTATGCACAGAAAAACCTATTTGACCACCTTGTTCTTCCTGATACATGTTAACACTTGTAAAAGTCCCCCCTTTTATATATTAATTAGTACTCAAAAAATGGCATTATGAGGGAAACTTTTTACATACCTGATATTTGGTTCTGTAGATATTGACAGCGGTTGCATGAGCTAAAATAATATTGTGCCCTGCCAGGAAAGGTTCTTTTTCTGAATTTCCATTAGAGCAATTCCCATATGGTTTTGAACAACGGTTTGGAGGGTAAACTCCTGATCGGTATGCTAAAGGGATGAACATGTTTGGTTCATTAAAGGTTACCCAATATTTCACCCTATCTCCAAAACTTTTGAAACAAATATCTGCAAAATAACCGAAGTCTTCCCTGCAAGGTAAAACTTGCAACGTCAATTTCCTGAACGAGCATAAGTATAATGTAGGAAAAGTTTTGTGGTACACAAAAGCAGTACACAAATTGTACACAAACCTCCCTAGTTGCTTGTGTATACGTGCAATCCGTTTAAAAAATGACAGGATTTTATACCAAAATGTCTGCGTACACAGACAGTGTACAATTTGTCTACAAATTTTGTGTACGTACACCAAGAGTTACCCATATTGTAGTGTACTCTCATGTATTATTACTCACTTTAGTTTTGGACTTAACCATGCTTGATATCTGATCTCAAGTTCTTGAGGGATATCAAAATGATTCAACAGCACAAACGGTTGAATTCCTGCATATCATTGTAGCAGTCCGTTAATTCTGGTCACTTTTAATAAGATAACTATTTTTCTAAATTGACGGATGAATTTTCTTAAAAGAAAAACAATTGTTACATGGGTATCATTGAAAATAAGCCAAATGCTACTTATTTTGCTAATTCGAATGATAACAAAATGGGCAGCTTTTGGTTACCTATTGAAGCCTAAATTTGCTGATTTCTGAATGTTTTGAACCCACCTTTTAGAAGCAGGGCATCAATGAGGCTGTTATAGTAATTGATCCCGTCAGTGTTTATGTTTCCATATCTTCCATCTGCACAAGACAACTAGGGTTTTAGCCTATTGATAAGGGTTTATTTCCATCTTTATATTTGTCAGAGGGATTAAATCTTCAAAAATGCTATTTGTACACGGTAAAGTGCACACATCATTTTACATGTCAGTGTATAGACTGTTTTTTGTGAATCAGTTCTTTCATTATGATTTCACTATGATTGTAATGTGTCACAACCAAAAAAAATTGTGTGGCACAAACAATGTTTTTATCAGTGCAAAAAATGATTCTCTTTACAAAACGCCGGTTAAATTGTCTGTATACATTCATTTTGACCGGCGTGTAAAATTATGTGTACTATGGTTTCTACACGAAGCATATATTATTGTTAAAAATTTTGGCAAAATTTGGTAGTAGTCTTACGTGGTAATATTCGAGTCCATGAAATTGAGAATTTGTAACTGTTCACTCCAAGAGAAGCCATGAGATCTATGTCTTCCTGTTACACGGAAAGTTATTATTACTATTATCATTACTATTGTGGTTACTGTAGTTGTGATGGGGTGCTGATTGTTTTTGTTTTAAACATAAGCACTATTATAAGGATTTCTTGTACGACATAATTAGAATTTAGAAACGAGACATACATTAATGTATCCGAAAAGGAGAAGAATTAATAAACGCATTAATTAAATCAGAATAAAATTTTTGGGAGAGATTATCAAATACATATTTCTGATCATCTTAATAAAAAATTAATTATAATAACCTAACATAATTGAAAAAGAACCATTTCAATTTTGGCTCAGTCGAACTATTTCGGCTCATTCAACATATTTCAAATACATATTTTGGCTCAGTCGAACTAGAAATAAATGGGCAGCCCAAATGACAAACTTAGCCTCATTTACTAAAAACAATACTCCTAACAGCATGGGAGGAGGGCCAAACTGGAGCCCAAGAATAATGAAAATGAGATGGACAACTACGGGAGGACACGGTTCAAGGCATAAGACAAAATAAATAATGTGGTCTTCCTTTGTATTATTAGGTGTACTTGTGTATAGGCTTGTCAATGGATCAGCTCTAGACTCAAACCGGACCCGGATTCATCTTTTTTTAATGAGTATGGATCTACATTTAATTCTGTTACCCGGACCCGGATCTGAACCCGTTATTTGATGGGTCGGGTATGGTATATATAGTTCCGACCAATTTAGGACCCGACCCGTTAATATTTATTTATATATATATACATTAGTCTAATATACATATTACATTAGTTGCCGTTCACATTACGATTTAGTTTAATAAATCTGAAGAGGGATCCCTATAATTCAGGAAAAAGCTTGTTCAGTTTCCAAAGCATTAATTTTACTCTTTATTCTAACATTACGTATATTGTAAATTATAAACCAACTCACAATTGTTGCATTTGGTTGAGTAATTACAAACAAGTAATTATAGTTCATGTGTCATATTGTTGTCAGAAAAGTACTCAGTAGTAAGAGGTCTTGTTTTTTTATTTAAGAAATTAGAATTGGATTTTCATGAGACGGGTCGGGTCTACCTGACCCGGTTCCGAGACCCAATGGGTATGGGTTTGGAACATTAGTTCTAGACCCGCCGGGTATATGGGTCAGGTCTGGAACCATATAGAGGCTAACTGGTACGGGTCTGGTATACTACGTTCCGGCCCGTACCCGACCCGTTGACAGGTCTACTTGTGTAGATATTTTTCGGCCTTTTTGTGTAAATATTACTAAATTAAACTAGACAGACAAAAACATTACTTCCTCCATTCTTTATTAACTGTCTCGTATTCCTTTTTGGGTCGTTTTTAATTATTTGTCTTTCTTTTCTTTTTTGGTATGTTTTTTCAATCAAAATATCTTTATACCCTCACTTTTATTATCATTGCCCCTTTCTCTTTCCTATTTTTTCATTTACCCACAATCTACTACACCTTATATACTACCCCTATTATTTTCCTCTTAAAACACGTGCCAAAACCTAAGAGGACAGATAATAAAGAGCGGAAGGAATATTTGTTTTGAGTTTTTCCAAAAAAGTGACTACGTTCTTTATTAAATACTACTCCATACGTATTAATGTACATTTATTACTCCATGTTAAAGTATTACTCCGTATTATGTTTATTGTACTGAAACCATAAGCAACCTTTCAGTATAACACTGCCACCGCAACACACTGCCCCCGTCACCACAATGACCGCCGCCGCCGCCACCGCCCGCTATCCAGTGACTTCCTTACCCCATGTTGTCCAGTGACTCTCTCCATTTACGACCTCTATAATGACTAGGGTCCTTATAGTGACTGTGTCGGTCAGTGACACATTGTCCTGTGACTCCCGCCGATAACTCATCCAGTGACACCCGCCAGTAACTCATGCAGCGACTCCCGCCGGTAACCCAGTCACTGTAGCACCCTGACGACCACAGCCCGCTCCCCTACCCAACCCCCTCCCTAACCTCTCCAATCCCCTCTCCATCACCTACCATCTGCACGGACTTGTGTTACCCTGTTGGCAGCCATAATCGCCGCCCTCCCTGCCCGGTTCATAGTCCAATACCGACCAACAACCACCTGACCCCTATGACAAGCCCCCCTGCCCCCAAACTCGTAGCCCCAATTCCCTTGACCTCCCCCGTGCACACATATCTCAACCCCTCAACCCGCACGGGTAGCTCAGTTGGTTCAGTGGTGAGAAATATGGACCAAATGACCAAGCTTCTAAACCCGGAGCGGCCGTGTGGAGGTCAAAAAACCTGAAATAAGGATGGGCCTCTGGTGCGCACGGGAAAAAGGTCTATCATCATTGGGCCGACTGAGTGATTAACATCCTCCAAAAACCCTACCATCATTGGGTCGACTGAGTCACCGTGATTAACATCCTCCCAAAAATCATGTCGGATCAAGGTATGGGGAGCTTCTGGGGTGGCAGATTCCACCTTTTGGACCAAATATCTCAACCACTCTAGAGTTTCTACACTCTAGGCTCTGCTATCGTTGCCGACAAAAAACCGCCGCTAATAGACAATTCAAGCGACAGTGATGGCTGAAATCAACCACTCGACGCTCGCATCAATACTCAAACAGGACGAGTGTTGGTGATGAATAATCGCACATCTTCGATGTTGTGGTTTAATTTGCTGGAAAGAAAGGAGAATGAGAGGGTTGTGGAGATGACTGAGCATTACAAGAATTTGGTGACGGCGTGGAATTGCTTTCCAGATCAAGTGACAAGAAGATAAAGATGGGTTTGACGGATGTAGTGCTGAATCGGTGAAAGGGTTTGGAAATTTAAGATGGGTCACTTTTATGGAATTTATGTGAAGAGTCCTATTTTTGGAACTCAAAAGATTAGAGATAATATAGAGGTCATTATAGCTAAGCATTCTTGCTCAGTTGGTTGTGAGATTACCGTGCTTAGTGGGAGGTCTCGAATTCGAAACCTGCTAGACACACAAGGGTTTGAAATTCATGAATGAAGTGAGTTTCAGCCCTGATTACTCCAAACCCCCAGACCTCCTAGAGTAAAAAAATATAGAGGTCATTATTTCATATTTTTCTCCCCTATCATTTGAACCATACGTGTTTGACTAAAAATCATTGCTGCGGAAAATAATACGGAGTATTAGATTGCTAATTAAATCTGAGATCAGTTCGGTTCTTAAGCAAAATATCTGGAACTATTTAAAAATTTTAACATTTATTATTGGTTCGGTTCTTATAAATTATTTGTAGAACTGATATGGAAGCGAACCAAATCTTAACGGTTCAGTTCTAGCCATTTCTCGGTTCCTAATATTTTAAATCTCCAACAAATTACCGTTAAATTTGTGTCATATAAAGACATTAGAATTTTAAAATGATAAGAAATACAACACATTCAAGGTTATCATCAGTTCAAACCTCAAAAGAAAACAAAAAAAAACATTAGCTACAAGAGGAATCACTTAATTAATTGCAAAGTTATACTAGTACAACTTTATTAACTAAACTAAATTAGTGAATTTAATATATAAATAAATATCAAAATATATATACTAATAAGCTATGTTTTAAAAAACTGACCCGATCAGGAACCCAACGACCCAGACCAAAACTCAGTTTGGTTATTCCAAAACCTGAAAATGGTCAAAACCCTGAAAAACCCGGCCGAGCCGGCAAAACCCAGTCCAAATTCGGACCCAAAAACCTCGAGAAACCCGAAGAAATACAATTTTGGTTGTTTTTCCATTTTTAAAATTTTCAAGCATTTTAACAATAAAACTGCAATTTCAAAACCCTAAAAAGAAAAAATATGCCATATATTTATATACTACGTAGTACTTATTTGTTTTAGAATAAAAGTCATGCCAAATTATAGAGTATAATAAATTTCCAATAAAAATAACAAATATGGAGGATCATTATATATTTTAATAAGATCAAAATGGTATTTTGGAATATAATGATGTTTTTTGAACTTTTAGTGTTTTGTAAGTATTACTATTAGTTAATTATTATGAAATAACTACCTCTTATTTTAATTTTGAATACAATTATATGTTTATTGTTGTTAAATGGTTGACCAATTTTATAGAGTTGATCAGATTGACCCGACCAGGTTCAGGTTGACCCGTGGCCCGGTCACACGGCCGGATCGTTTTCCGATCCTGTTTCTTAAACATAGCTAATAAGTACAACCCCATCCCAGTGGAGAGGCGCTTGAAATTTGAATTTTGTTAGATACTACGTAGTTTATATCAAGAGTATTTCTGTCGATCTATTTATAATCAGTCTCTTTTTACTCCCAATCATAAAAAGTGTCTGTTTAAGCAATTTTTAGTACCTAGTGAATTATTATTTTTGAAAAATGTATGTGAATTCGTCTCATTACTAAGTTTTATAATCTGAATTTTATTTTATTTTTACTAATACAGAATTAAATATAATGACGGTCAAAGTTGTGCGTTGACAAACGTAAAATATTGACTGTTGCATCTAAAAAGAGACGAAGGAAGTATTATACTTCGTATAAACAATTTAAAAGAATAAAAGAGTTTGCTCGGTAACGTACAAGAAGCTAGGTAAATTAATATGAAGTACTCCCTCCGTCCCAGAATTTACTTCCATAGTACAAATGGCACACGGATTAAGAAAGTGAGAATTGTGTGGTGGAGAGTTGTGCAGAGGAGAGAGAAATGTGTAAGAATTATTGTGAATCACAAATTCTTTGCCAAAAAGGGAAAGAGAAGTTCTTTTTGGGACAGACGAAAAGGGAATGTTGGAAGTAAATTATGGGACGGAGGGAGTACTACGTAATATATTGACTGCAATTCTGCAAATGATTGTGAATTACTCCGTATATTCTAGAGCTTAGGTAAAAAAAGTGTATCTCTCTTCTCCATGATACTAGGGATATACTTGTTTCGTTCCTAAATGTTTTTCCTACTTTGACTTTTGCGATCTTCTAGGTAGGTAGGCGTGTGACTGTAATTATCTATTAATATATACCTATAAAATCTATAATAAATTGACATTTGAATAATACATATGACAAAGAATCACATTAAATAATTTTTAAGGATAAAAAATTATTAATTTTGAGTAATTAGCGGTTAAATTTAACAAATTTGACTCAAAAAGTCAAACTAGGACAAACAATGAGGAATGGAAGAAGTATATACTATGTATATTACAGCAAAAGCTCCCAAGTTGATGTGCTACCCTCCCTGCGAATAAGGAATTAGTTGAGCTAACCATCCCTATTTTCTTGTTGTTCCCAAAAGTTGGAATCTCTCACCCCAGGAGCCCCCGCCCCGACCCGACAGGATGGTGGGGAGATAAGTCACGGTGACTCAGTCAGCAGAATGGCAGTAGGCTCATACACCCGTGCACATCAGAGGCCCAATCTTATTTCAGGTTCTGTGACCTCCACCCGATCGCTGCGGGGATTCGAACCTTGATTCATTGTTCCAAATCTCCCACCACTCGACCAACTGAGCTACCCGTGCAGGTAATCACCCCTATTTTCTATTTTCAAGCTCAACCATGTTCCTTTAATCTTATCAACTCAACACGTGGTATTTTCACAAATTACATGACAGTTTAAGATTTCAATTAAATATTCTCGTCCTAACAGTATCTTTTTGTCTTTTGGAACTCCAGGAGTATCATATTTATCATTATTTCACGTTGAAAACAATAGAAATCATAGTAAAATATATCTGAGTAAAAAAGGGCTAGTCGCAAGTATTTATGAAGTTTCAACATAGTGGAGCTTTTTGAACGATTTTTTCCATTGTGTTGGGTCACTTTATAAAACTGCAAAAAGAAAAATGAATTTCAAACATGCTTAATTGCGACATTGTTGAAGAATTGAAAACTACTCTAACTCATGTTTGTTATGTATCATGTATATGTTCCTTCCTTGTCTCGTTAACATTGTCTCATTTTACATTTTCAGGAAATCGCTCTAAATAAAATTGTCTCAAACTAAGAGCCGGTTTGGTAACGCCGAAAAATGGGTGAATTGGCTTATTCCGTTGAAATGTATGAAGTTGTGGTTGAATTAGCTGTATTGACTGATTCTGGTGATTTTTAAAATAAATTATATACAAAATATTTGTTATTAATAAATAAAATAAAAAATTATGTGAAAAAATAGCTAAAATGATCCTCTACGGTAACTTCAGCCAATACAACCAGAAAAGTAACTTGAACCTTACTTTTTCTTATTATTACAAAATTCAATACGCGGAATCAAAAGTTACGTGTTTGGTGAAAAAACTGGTCGATAAGTCAAAAAAAGATGGTACCAAACGGGCTCTAAGTTTGGTAAAGTTTGTGTAGTCCTAAATCATTTTTACTTCATTCTTTATTCTTTTTTTTATCAATTTAAGTAATAAACCTCATAAACTCGCATTTCTTAATAACCGTTTCATTTCATTTTATCTCAATGTTAGTGGGAGTAGGGGTGGGCGCGGTCCGGAACGGTCCGGTAAATTGGTAAAACCCGTAATGTATCCGTGAGGTTTTTAACGGTCCGGTACGGTCCAGTTCCAAGGATAGAACCGTTCGGTACCATGTCATTTTCGAACGGTACAAAACAGTACGGTACAATGCCAAATGCATGCTAAAAAATTTGAACAAAATTTGCAATTAGTAGATATCATCACACCAACCAACTCGCGTGAAATGTTGATATAAATACAAGAAATTCCATATGTAGTACTAATATTCACAAATACACAAATAGTGCAACACAACTAAGAAAAAGTATAGCAAACGATGACGCACGAGATAAATATCATCTTTAGTTTACTAAGTTCATGTGAAAATATAAAAACGAATATCATCAAATTGTTGAATATGATAGAAATCGTCAACATTCTTCTTCTTCGTTCTAGGTTAAATATTACTCCGTAGTTCTAATTTAATTTATAATTGAACCTTGAAAGCTAAAATTTAAACCATATTAATTAAGTTGTAAAAATTGCACAAACATGATACAACAAAAAGTCATGGACATTACATTACTAGAAATGAATAGTCATTAATGATTTCTAAAATTTTAATATTCTTTCAATACATACCGAAGTATAACATAAATTATCTAAAAAGAAAAAAAAAAAAAAATATATATATATATATATATATATATATATATATATATATATAAACACACATTTAGATATCTTAGGAACACATGAATACATACTTGGGCTATGAAATTGTTGGTCTATAAAAGAGACATATTGGTATAGAAAAAATATAAAAAATTCAAATGCATTATTTTCGAACGGTTCGGTCCGGTATTTTTCGGTTCTCAAAATCTAGGTCCGGTCCCGTACCCGTTTCAAACGGTACGGTTTTGGTATGGGATACAAATCTATAGAACCATTTAAATACCCGATATTTGGTTCGATATCATTACGGAACGGTTCGGTACCGGTTCGGTTCGGGTTTTATGTCCACCCCTAAGTGGGAGAGCGAGTAAATCTCAAAAGTGGGATCCAGAGATCTTGAGTTCGTCTCGGCTGAACAGTATTTAGAGATTTACAACGAGAAAGCTATTGCCAGCGCGACATGTTTTGCCAAAACAGTACATTAATTCTGGTTAAAAGTTTCTTTATTTGAAATAATATTATTAGAGAATTGCAAGATACGAAGTATTATTTGCACGTGAGTAAATCTATGTACTGAATGCACAATTATTGAAACACAAGTGTTTCATGTTTTATTTTCCTACAGTTTTTCCTTCCATATATACGGAGTACAAAAAGTGACTGGGATTTGAAAATCTGACTAACCTGAAATCGGTGGTATTGATCGTCTGCAACATCTCCATTGCTTCCATCTAGTATATCATTGGCTACAATAAAGAGGAATTTTATTTTCCCTAGATATTTTTTCAGAATATTAAAAAAGTCTTTAAATAAATTTTTTAGTGCACTGTTTTAGTTCTATTTATTTACACTAATTTGGTACAAAAATAGTTCACTACTCGTATTTTTTATGAAATATGAAAAGAATATTTAAAAAGAACCTGATTTGTGGGTGAAAACATCCCAGTTACTGAGGCCTTTACCATTATCCATGTACCCTCCTTCAAACTGCAAAGCATTATTAACACAGCATTTGCGTGGATGGAATTAAGGAATCAATCAAATCCAAAGATTCCAAACCAATAATACATGAAAATAAATGTGCGGACCTGATAAGAAGAGGAAGCCGTGCCTAAAAGGAAGCCGGCCGGGAATGAAGGCGGGACATCGGAGTTGACCGTTACAGGCCGCTGTATGACACGACGAGACGCCATAAGCGGCGGCGGGGAGAGTAGAACCACCGCCGCAAGAAGCAGCCATCGACGCTCAAGCAGTGCAGAACGTGTCATCATATACTTCGTATGTTGTTTCTAAATAATACGTAGTAGAGATCTAACTTAAAACAATAGAATACGAATATGATCAATTACATAAATTAATTCACGAGGAAAACAAGCATGTGTCTTGTCCATGTCACCCAGTTATATAGTGACGGGCAAGATCAATTACATAAATTCATATGGTACAATTTGGTACCTTAACATTTAAATGAATCTGATCAAATTATATATAAATGTTTGTTGCAATATCATAATTATATATAAATGTTTCAATTAACATTGTTATTCAAATTTGTGGTCAAAAATCTTACATACCGTGATAGGGATCAAAGTTTTATGTGTAGAATCCACTCTACAATGAATACATGATACAAGTACGGTGAAGAGGACTTTATGCATATAATTCCGATCGCCACGTATGATATTTTATCCAAAATTTATATAATATGATCAACCGAAAAGTTAAAGTACCAAAATAGAGATGGTAGAAAAGTAAAAGAAAAGACGGGTATTTGATTAATTGATTCTTTAGTTGGTAGAGGGCAAATATTTCACCCGCCAAGTGAGATTGGAGAAAAGTAAAAGAAAAGGCGGGTCTTGGATTCTTTAGTCGGTAGAGGGCGGTTGGGTGGGACCTAACCTTCACCTCACGTAGTCAATAAATGCTGGCGTGGCGGGCCGACATGGATATTATTTGGATAAGTGGAGTTTGGGGTTGTTAGAATTTGGTAAAAGTACTTATATTGTGTGGAAATATTTCATGAGAGATATTCGATCGGTCAACCCTAATCTTGTTCAGGGCCGTAGATGAGGCGTGCAAGAAATGCTACCACATAAGGCCTCTCGATTCAGAAGGCCCAAGATTTTAAATACGGTCTACATAATATACAAAATCCTCATTTATTTGATTAAAGATTCTCATCTTAGTATTTTTTTAAAATTTATATGTAATTTAAATGATAGATCGGAGCTCATAAGAATTTAAACAGATAAATTATTGTTACATTACTCTTTGTTACGTAACTCGTGTTGGAAAAATGTGTTAAAAATTACATTAAATGGTCATTTTGGGGCAATTATTTGAGTGGGGTCCACTTCCGATTGGGTCGGGTCAAAGTGGTTTCTGATTGTCCTTGTTAAGGGTTACAATTTGATATATGGTACGCTCAAAACGGATAACGGGTGAATGAGAAATTGATTCTCGAAGTTAACTCGTTGAAATGGGAAAACACGGAGAACGATGAGTTTCTAGTGTGTTTTATACCACACTAAAAAACTCAAGGGATTTTCACCCCCTTATAAAGGGAAGCCTCTTTTAAGGAGTTAAGATTCCTAAAGGTAAATGCTCTGTCTTGCGCGCAGGGAGGGTGCCGATCAAATCTTGAAAACGGAGAAGAAAACCCGTGACTCGTGTGCGCGGGGGACCTGCGGACACTAATGCTTTTCTGTCCGAAAAATCTATCATTCAAAGATACGATTTAATTTTTGTTTCTTCCTGTAATGTTCCTTTTTTTCAGGCTGGCAGAATCGCTCCATTTCTGTTCGGACCAGAAGAGGGTTCTGTTCTCAACAGAACCGCTCGGCTTCTGTTCGGCTCAACATAAACCCTCGAGGTGTTCTGGTCGCAACAGAAGGGCTCGAGGTATTCTGGCCGCAACAGAAGGGCTCGAGGTATTCTGGTCGCAATAGAAGGGCTCGAGGTATTCTGGACCGTTACAGCAATAAATGTCCAACGTTCTTATCTTTTAATGCGGCGTTAAATGGATAGTTTATGGACGATTCAATGCCCAGCGGGCTGGTCATTGATGTGCAACGTTCAGGTCCATTAATACTCCATTAGACACACAACAAATCCTCCTATAAATAGCTGACAAGTGCTTTGCAACAAACACGTTCTTATACGTTCACTAGCAATCTGCACGTAGTTTTTAGCTTTAAAAACACTTTCTGCTACTCTGAAATTTCCTGAGTGTTCTACCTTTGTTCCCGTTCGCCGGAACTCTCGTTTGTGTGCTCAAACGTTAGTTCGTTAGCCACCGTATCCTGGGAAACGGTCGTTGCAACGCTCTTAGCACTGTGTGAGGCGACGAATACGTTTGAAGAACATCGTGCGTAGCACGAGCTCTGACTAAACTTTGTTCCATCTATTTTCCGTTTTCTTTTGACTATTTTAATTTATTTATTAATTAATTTTATTTAATTAATATTTCTTCGTTTTTCTGAGACACACCCAACAATATGTATGATTTACTAGAATGTTCTTAATTTTCTTTTTAATTGGATGGTAATTTTCTAATCTGGTCTAATTTGATAGATATTTAATTTTTGTGTATATTGCAATTGTAAAGATCGAATCTAGTATGATATGATTCGGTCTGTTTAAATCTAGTGTACTTCAACCTCAACCCTAGCAACAAATTTGGTAAATGTTTTATCTTGCGAGTAAAATGTATTGAAACAAAAATAGTATATGGGATATTTTATGGGCCTATCCCAATATTTTTAGCTGAGTGCTTGGATTGGTCAAAGTATCCAATAAAGTAGGTGAAAGAGTTAAGAATTACTACGTATCACTTTACGAGTATTAGTTTATTGTTGAGGACCGTTAAACATATATTCTCCATTATAGACGAGGAGCCCTAGCCTCCTCATTTTGACAGTTAATTTCACATGTGATTGATTTGATCCTTTATAATTGTTCCAAAATTTCACCTTAAGATTTTATTAGGGAGTAATTATTCAGTCACGTTTATAAAAATAGCGCGTTTGATAATCGTGATCTTCAGTTAATCAGGCTTATCGGCTAGCTTTTTCATCACACTTTGAAAAATATATTTTTTATATATATTTTTTTATTTCATTAATAAAATATATTTTCAATATAATTTTCTCAAAATTCAACAAATTCAACCAATTAAGTCGCTTCATTCAGAATTTCATCAATTTCAACAAAATCAACCTATTTAGTTAATTTTAATGTTACCTAATAAGTTATAAATAAATAACTGTCTTCAAATTGGCCCCATCCATACCAAATTGAAATTCTGATGGATTGGCATGAAAAAAAAACGTTGGTAGTTGCATGTTGACGTACAAGGTATGCAAATGAAATACGTAGTGCGTATTTCTGATTAGGGATGGCAACGGGGCGGATCGGGGACGGTTTTACATAAAACCGTAACCGCTCCGTTAGGTAATTTCCCCGCCCCGTAACCGCCCCATTACCCAACGGGTAATTTTTATCCAAACCATAACCACCCCAACGGGTAACGGGTAAAACTTCGGGTAACCGCGGGTAACCGATTTATTAATTGTGTCATTAAATTTTGATATAAAAATAATATTTTAAAAGGAGAAGAATGACATCGCCTAGACGACTCTACACTTCAGATGCCAATTTAAAGATTCATATATCTACAAGACGAGAAAGGAATCAACTTAAATTAATTTGAACCTAAAAATACTTGATCTAAAAAATATATGGTAATAATCAAACAAGACTATTAAAATCTATTATGAACTTGCGTTCATACATTATAGTTAGTACATCTATTATCTATATATTCACAATGTAAAGAAAAAAATCTCATCTTTTAATAGTTGTTAGACAAATTATAGATAAAATTATAATAAAAATATAACTACAAATAAACGGGGCGGGTACGGGGCGGGCATGTATAAAACCGTAACCGCCCCATTACCCGTAAAAATAAAATGGGGATTCCCCGCCCCGTACCCGTTACCCGGTCAATGCGGTTTTCCCCATTTTGACCGGGGCGGTTCGGTGCGGGTATCCATCGATTTGGTCACAATTGCCATCTCTAACTCTGATCTGTTGCTACCAATGCATAAACTTAAACGTGAGCTAATCACTTTGAATAACTGTTATAGTCTTACCAGAAAAACGGATAGTTCACGTGTTTAGAAAAACGGATAGTTCACGTGCATATTATATTTGGAAAATAATTTCTATTTGAAATACTATTTAAGGAAAAATAATTTAAATATCTCAAACTTTAATAGGGTGTGCAATAAATATCTCAAACTTGCATACATAATTTATATATCTTGAAATTTGTATAAAAAGTTATTTTCGCACCATGATTGTATATATATTTTTACATCGTGATTGTATATATTCTCAGACGCGGAGCCAGAGCACTAAGCCGGATTGGGCCGGACTTGACCAGTACAAAGAATATTTTTTGAAAAAATTTTACACGAAATTTTTTACCTTAAAAATTAAGCATTTTTAAAATTTGGGGTGGGTCATGGCCTAGGTTGGCCCACCCCTAGCTCCGCCCATGTATATACTCGATATAAGCTTTATTAGAATGCAATTAGCATTCTAAAATTTCATTTGTGAAATAAATAGTATTACATTCGGTACAATTTAATTTTAATTGCATTCTCATAAATGTTTTGGATATCTTAAATTATGTACTAAATACAATAAAATTATATTTGTAGAAATATACGAAGTATATGATATTATTGCTAATACAATTTTTTATATAAGTTTGGGGTATACAACTTCTTACAACTATCCAAATTTGATCTAATCCGATTAAAGTTAATATGATATTATTGCTAATATAATTTTTTATATAAGTTTGGGGTATACAACTTCTTACCACTTTCCAAATTTGATCTAATCTGATTAACGGTAATATGATTTATTTAAGTCTCATATTGTCTGATTTAATTTAGAACCGAAACCATTCCGGATATTGATGGACTCGGGCCGGGTCGGGCCCGGACCGGGCCACCCGCCCGGGTCACGGGTCGGGTCCGGTTCGGGCCGTGCCGGTTATTTTTTTTTATATAATTTATATTTTATAGTTTATAGTTTTATACGAGTATTAAAAACAAACTTCAATTGCATTTATTTGAAATGAAATAGGAACTACATTTGAAAATTAAAAAAAACTTTAAGAGATAAACATTTTGAAAATTGTAATCAATCGGAACTTCCCGCACCTCCCGATCCTTTGGCTTTGTCACATGACTTCATATGCTTGATTGTCATCCCGAATCCGCCAGAAACCCCCATGCTACATTTTTTCTCGCACCATTTGCAAATTGCGTACCACATCCCGGTCTTC